CTACTTAATTTTGCATTACTGTGTAAAATGAGAAGTAAAATGTAGTTCTTAATGCTTTTGTCTAGATATGTCCTTTTTGTAGTCAGTTATTTTGCTGTAAGTAGTCAGAAGAGGATGTAATAATAATAATAATAATAATAATAAATAATAATAATAAAGAATGCATTTAGCCCAATTCTAAAAATAATTTAAAAAATTTCCACATTTCAGCTTCCACTCAGAATTTTACCAATTATATTAATTTAGTGTAATATCCCCATGAAAGAAACTCTTCAAGTAATTGAAGATGTTTGTTGGTAAAAGAAAAGAGAGGGGTGGTTGAAGGCTTGAAGGGTTCTTTTTGGAGGGGAGTGGGGAGTCTGGGGAAATTTGAGCATGTTTGTGGATGGAGAGGAAAAAAGCCCACTGGAAAGGGAGATATTGAAGATGCTAGAAGGAGGGGTTAATTGAAGGTCTTAGATCTTTGGGAAGGGATCCAGACAAAGACTGAGGGTTAACCTTAACAAGGATAAGAGGAGAGCAAAGATGAGGGAGGGTGAAGAAAGATTTTGAAATGCAGAAGAGGGAAGTGAAGGGAGTTTACATTGAATGACCTTGATTTCCTCTGGATAGTAAATGTTTGGAATAATTGCTGTGAGCAGTGTAGTAAGGATCTAACAGGAGTTGATCAAAAAGATTGCCAACCTGTGGTAAAGGTTTGGCTGAGATATTTAACAAGAATTAGCATGAATTTGTAGTGGACTTGATCAGTTTTTTGAATTTTTCCAGAAACACTTAGCTGTTTTGGGAACAGATCAAGCAAACTGTGGGAGTTGTCTCAAGTTAGAGGGGACAGTGATCTTCTAACACCAAATTAATGGCCTTTCTGTTGTTTAAACTGTTTAAAAAGGAGTACAGAATGCGATGAAACACTTCATCTACTTTATTATTTTGGCCTTGGGTCAGCCCTAGTTTTAAGGATAACAGAAGTTGAAACTTTTTTAATAAATGGTCAGTCAGAAAATGTGTATTTCAGAAGCCAGAAATATTAAGTGATAATTTGTTTAATTTATTCTGAAACCCAGTTAGCGATCATCTGACAAGATTAATTCATCTCCACTGATTCGTACCTTAGAACCTATTAAACTTTTTCCTTCCCCATCTCTCCTACTCTACCTTGACCTCTTTCTCTTTATCCCTTTCTACCCTATCTTGAACTGTTTCATTTTTTTGTCCTATTTCCTTGCCGGTACTATTTACCCTTTGTATTTGAATTAATAATATTGTATTTCTTATTAAAAACCTTCAAAATTTGTTGTAACAGTTATACCTAATTAAGTCAAAAAGTAAGTGGTTTTAAAATATTTGACATAGGCTGTGCTTGTAATCCTATTAGGCATAGTTTTACTTTTTTATATTTATGGGCATATTGCAACCATTAACTAAATATAGTCCTATTTTAACAGTGAGAATAGCTAGATATTAAGTGATTCAGTATTTCTGAGGGAGGAATTGTTTCAGAATACAACTGACAGAAACTTATCTTTCCATGTTCTTATTGACTCTCTTTTGTAAGTTATCAGTTGAGATCTGCAAAGTATTTCTTAAATTCTTTTGCTAATTTATGAGCTTTTTCCTTTTAAAAAAGTTTTATTTTAAAATTTGACCCTTAGGAAGTAAATGAAAATAGCTCTTAGAAGAAGTTGTGTATGAGAGAATATAATAAAATTTAATACCTCATCTATAAAATGGAGTGTAATAATACTTGAACTATCTCAGTTATTGTGAAGAATGGACTTTGTGAATTGTCAAATACAATATATATGTGTGCATATATATATATAGTTATTAGTAAAAGTCCTTCCTTTTTATTAGTTTAGGTCTTTTTGGGGAAAATTAAAGGCTTAGTGGTTTCACTCATTTCACTTAGAATTAGAATCAAAGATCTAGTTATAGAACAGACATTAGAAGTCAGATAGTTCAACCTCTTTACCTTACAGAGGAGGAAACTGAGAAGGTTAGATGACTATTGTACAAGTTAGATGATTTGCCAAAGGTCTTATAGGCTAGTAATTATTAGAGAGAGATTTGAATCAAAGTCCTCAGAACCACTGCCCTTTCCACTGTACCATGTTTCTTTAAAACAAATACATATGTAGTATAAAATGACATTTACTTAATTTTAATTAAATAGGAGGAAATTCTACTTTATTGTTTAATTACTTAAAAAAATAAGCCAGCATCAGGAAAGCACTAAACATTAGCAGAATACATGAAGCAATAATTGATTATGTCTAAGATTTAGCTCTGTGAATACAAAATTTAAAAAGGTCTCCTTAATCATAAGATCGCATAGCAGATTACAATCATTTACTTTTTTTCCCCCCTCAGGTTTATTTTTAGAAGAGCTTGGAGTCAGGAAGAGCCGGGTTCAAATCCTACCTCTGAAAATTCTCTTTTGTTGTTTCAGTGGTGTCTGACTCTTTGTGACCTCATTTGGAGTTTTCTTGGCAAAGATGCTGTAGTTGTTTTCCATTTTCTTCTCCAGCTCATTTTACAGATGAGGAAACTGAGGCAAATAGGGTTAAGTGATTTGCCCAGGGTTACATAGCTAGTAAGTGTCTGAGGCTGGATTTGAACTTAGGTCTTCGTAACTCCAGGTCTAGCACTCTATCAAATATGCTACCTATCTGACCTGAAAATTCTTTAGGTGACTGTACTCTATAGTAAGTGAGACATGGGTTGCAGTTTGTTTTGATGGAGGTAGTTTCTATGTAGGCAATTTTATACGCTGTGATGAAATCACTCCTTTGCTTAGTCACTTATTCATGCTTTGTGCAATGTTGAGTCACCTGAAATATGTTGCTAAGTTTTAGCTCAGTTGCTTAGCTAGTAAGACCATTTTTTAAAACTCTCTGTGGACTAGCTAACTTTTCTTTAGACTGCATCCCTATCACTAATCAGTCTTTTTGATAATATATATCCTTGACCACAAGCAGGACTGGGGTAGGGGTGGTGAGTGAGTATTAATGGAACACTGTAAATCCATAAGAATCATAATTTCAAAGCATTCAGTTTCTGTTATTGTCTTTTTTTCCATTTATATATTGCTGTTATAATTGTCTTTGTAAAATCTTACGGAGAAAGATGGTAGAAAATTATGAGCACTATCACCTCAAAACATTGAGGGATGCTGGTGGTTAAAATCTATTTAGAGAAAGCTTAAGGAAAGACCTAAGGAGAGTCCTCCCCAGGGCATTTAAGGATAAGGCTAGAAGGACAAACAGATGAAAGATGGAAAAATTCTGCCAAGTTCTTTATAATAGGCTCTTTTCATGATTGGTGACAGTGAAATCACCACACAAACATTATAGTTTTGGATATGCTTATAAAGGATGTAGAAATGGCATGATAGAGAGTATAATTGGGAAGAGCATCTGGACTTGATCAAATATGCGTAGAAGAAATCCATGCTAGAGGTGACTCAATTGTGAGAATGTTGCAGGATTGATTCTCAAGGAATTCGGAGAAGGGGGAAACATGAAGTACTTGATACAAAATGCTCCTTCTTACTGGCAAGAAAGAAATGACCACGATAAAATTAATACCTGCTGACTTGTCTGCTTGCTGCTCTAGCTCTGTAAACTTTGTTTGACAATAATCAACACAGTAACTGAAGGCATCCTTGATGAAAGTATTAATAGATAGACTGCATTTGTAGTATCACAGACTTGACTAAAAGTTGAAGACAATACAGGATCATATTATTTTATTGTTTCTTGACCATATGAAAACATTTGATTTGGTAAAGCAAAATGCCTTTTTGGAGATACTCCTCAACAAAGTATCTTCCAGTTCTGTGTCATAATCATGCAAGGTTACTTGAAAAACAAGGAACTAAGGGGAGAGAATTTGGAACTCAAAGTTTTAAAAACGAATGTTAAAAATTGTTTTTACATGTAACTGGGGAAAAAATAAAATTCTAAATTAATCTGGAAAAAATAGCCTTAAAGTGAAAAAAAAGAAGGAAAAATGAGCAGCTGTAACAAAGTAGAGAAACGTCCATTTACCCTGTTATCACGAATGCTGAATGAAGCATAAAACAGAGATGTATGTTCTCGAAGGTATTTTCCATCGTCATGAAAAAGATTCAGAGTAGAGTCTGAGTTGAAAAGAGATTACCTGTGGATGATGGATGATGAGGTCTATGTAACACAAACTAAATAGATGAGGAGTATCAAATTGTTGAGAACAGCTAAGATGGGGGAAATAGAAGGAAGTAGCACAGCTGGGAGCTCTCCCCTACAACTACTCGACAAAGATCTAATAAATATCTTGTATTAATTCATAATCAAGTAATCAAGTAAAGAATCAGTGTATCATTCTTCTAGCTCCACCAGCACAGGGAGGTGGACAGTGGCGTCTGTGGACAGTGGGGGTGGATTATAGTCAGTAGCAATGATGTAGAACCATGAAGCACAGAGACTGAAAGAAGGTCTACGCATAGCTATGCACCAGGACAAGAAGAGTTTTCAGATTTAGCACAGAAGGACCTGACTCAGGGGGTGGGAACAAGTGTCAGCTGGAAACCCAGTCATTCTCCACCCAGTACTGGGTCACAGTTCCAGTGTGGACTAAGGAGGGAACGTTTGCTAGATGTGGTTATGTAGGGCCTTCTAGAGATAGCAATGGATAGAGTGCTGGATCTGGAGTCAGGAAGACTTGAATACAAATCTGATCTCAGACACTAGCTATGTGACCCTGGGTAGGTCTCTTAATCTCTGTATGTTGCCTCAGTTTTCTCAACTATAAGATGGGGATAATAATAGCACTTACCTTCTAGGGTTGTTGTGAGGACCAAATGAGATAATATTTGTATAGTGCTCAGAACAGTGCCTGGCACATAGTAGGTACTATATAAATACTTATTCCCTTCCCCCTTCCCTACCAGGGAGTGGTTGTGAATGATAGGCTGTGTACTGAGAAAGGAGCAAATGCCAAAGTTGTTTTTCTAACCCTAGGAGCCTGTTCTGAAGCCTGCCACAGAATAACCAGGACAGGAAGCCCAGACCAAAGGGTACCTTACAGCTTTGTCATGTTGAATCTTCAGAGTTTTCCTGCTGATTGAAGGTGACTGAATCAAGCAATTATCTACTGAAGTTCCAAGCAGGGGCAAACCCGTAGTTTTATTGCTCAGACTCAAATCCAAGTCAGAAGGTCAGTCTTCACATTTAATTAAACCACTTTGGGTGCATTGAAAGCTTCCATGTCCCTAGCCTTAGCTGACAATATTCTGAGAAAGCAACAAGACGACACAAAATAGGACCAAGCATGGCCCAGCCATCCTCTCCAGAAATGTGCACAACTTGGTCCTATATGCCAAGCGGGTGCGTTGGCCCTGGAATCAGGAAGATCAGAGTTCAAATATTACCTCAGACACTTACTAGCTAGTAACTGACTGACAATAAGGCAGTTAGGTGGCACAGATGGGGTGCTGGGCCTGAAGTCAGGAAAATTCATCTTCCTGAGTTCAAATCTGGCTTCAGACACTACCTGTGTGATCCTGGGCAAGTCACTAAACCCTGTTTGGCTCTGTTTCCTCATGTATAAATGAGCTGGAAAAGGAATTGGCAAACCAATCTCGTCACAAAGACACAACAAATGACACAACAATAACAAATATACCAAGTACTGTGCTAAGTGTTGAGTGTACAAACAGAGGCAAAAGACATCCCCTGCCCTCAAGGAGCTTATAGTCTAATGGGAAAGACAGCAAGCAAATAAATACATGAAATTCTGCTATAATTGATATAGTGGTGTGTGTTCCTCACCAAAAAGCACCAAGCTATGCAAAATGCTTCAGTAAAATCACGGAGCTTATGGGGAAGACAGAGCTAAGTGTACAGTGTTCAAAAATTTCATTAGTGACACATTAAGAAAAAGAAAGAAACCTAATAAAAATGGCAGCAGAGTTTTGTACATGTTAAATGGTTAAGAAATATATAAATACTACAATAAATAGTGGCCACCTCTGCAGCCTTGGACTGCTGGTTAGCCTGAGCCCCAGTGCTGCACTTGCAAGTTGGACAGGTTACAGCAGAGGAAAAAAAGGGGTAGCGGGAATGGAGGTGATGCTGACCAGGCCTTCTTAGCTCATTGTTCCTACTGTACCAGAAGATATATAATAATTATGATACTTTATCATGAAAAAGATATGAATTTTGTTTGGGAAGTGGGCGTTAGCAGAGTTGCAGAAGTGGTGAAGTTTTTCTCATTCTCTGTTTCTTGAGAAAGATTCAAAATTCAAGTTATGATAAAAATGTTCTCAAATATATCATTTGAGTTAAAACAAATTCCCATTTTTGAAATGTCTTACAACTGTCTATATCTCTGCCTAATATTTATACAGTATTTACAGTGTGCCAGGCTCTGTGCTAAGCACTTCTTTTAAAACAAATATTACCTCATTTGATCCTCACAATAATTCTGGGGGGGTAGGTGCTATTATGATCTCCATTTTATAAATGAGGAAGCAGAGGCAGGCAGAGGTTAGTGACTTACCCAGTGACTCACACAGCTAGTAAGTGTCCCAGACTGGATTTGAAGTTGTCTTGGTGACTACAGACCCAGCACTTTGCTCACTGTACCACCTAACTTCCCCTTCAAACATACAGTTTGTACTGTACAAACAAACTATATACAGAATAAAAAGGAAATAATTAACAGAGGCAAGCCATTAGAATTGAGAGGGGTTGGGAAAAGCATCCTTTTGAAGTTGGGATTTTAATTGACTTGAAGGAAGCCAGGGAAGCCACTAGGCAGATATGGGGAGGTGGACGTAGAGAATAACTAGAGAAATTGCCTGAAGCTGAGAGATGGAATATACTGTTTATGGAATAGCAAGGAGGCCATTGTCACTGTATCAGAAGAGTATGTGGCATTGAGTAAGGTGTAAGAAGACTGGAAAGGTAGCGGTGAGCTGAAGGCCAAACAGGATTTTGCATTTGGTCCTGGAGGGTGATAGGAAGTAGAGGTAGGCATGGTCAGACCTGCACTGTAGGAAAGTTACTTTGACAGCTGAATGGAGGTTGGATGGGTATGGGGAGAGACTTGTGGCTGGCAGATTCACCAGCAACAGTCCAAGTGTGAGGTGGTAAGGACCTCCTATACTAGGGTAGTAGATGTATCAGAGGAGAGAAGCGAGCATATTTGAGAGATGTTGCAAAAGTGAAATCTGTAGGCCTTGACAATAGATTGGATATGGAGGGGTGAGAGATAATGAGTTGAAGATGATGTATTTATGTTGTGAACCTGGGGGACTAGGAGGATAGTGGTACCCTTTATAGTCTTGGTAATGTTGAGTTTAAAGTGATGACTGGACAGCCTTTTCAAAGGGCATATAAGACTGTACCCCTTCCAACTCAAGCCAGTTCTGAACTGGCCTTAAGGGGGCCCAGTTTTAGAATGAACTCCCACGAAATGCATGTCAAGCCAGCTTGAGAGAAATTAAACTGTGGGGGCAGTCGCCTTATTATGTACAGATACTGAGAGCCAAAGGGTAAAAAGTAACAATAAATAGTTCATTTAAAGTGTCTCATACAACTGTTTTTGTGATACCTTCTGATGAAGTTTTCTGGTCTGAGTGCTGTTCAAGCAGTGTCCAGCAGACTGTCTTCTTGTCGTGATCCTCTTTCTTCTGTTTTATACCTTGCATTAATTCCATTTTTTATATTTTGCATATATATTTTGCATTAATTCATTATTCATTTCCCTATCAGGAGGATGAGATTCCACTAAGGAATTAATAACAGACTCCAACCATACATTGAGTAATCAATTTAAAACAGTACGTATCAAGTAATAAAACAATTCCAGCTTCTGGTCATGTACAAATAAATAACCCTTAAAGTGGATACTTCTTTTGTGGTGTTTGCAAGATAGACCACAAGCCATTCCATTCTTTTAACATTAACTAATTGTAACAAACTGAGACAGGTATCTTACTATAATAACCTCAGATGTTCCAGCATCAAGCTATTATTTAACAGACTTAATATTGTACATACAAAACTTTTAATTACAGAAATTTGCCATAAAAGAATAGGGACATAATTAAAGTAAGGGAACAGTGTTTCCCTAACTTTGTGTCAGTTCCAGGCAGAAGTTATAGTAGATGGCCAACTTCATTGAGCCAGGCTTAAAGTCTGCCAGATGTCATACTGGGGAAATTGAGTCAGGAGAATCCTACCTCAGATAATGCAGAGTAGTTGTTCTTCCGACCTTCCCATGAGAATGCCCTCTGCAGTTACTCCCAACCCACCCAAACACACACAGGGTTGCTGGCCTCATGGGTCAGTGGCTCAGTCAGTTTCTTGATCACTGTACCTGGAGTTAGATTCAGGATAACAGCCATTAACAGTCCCATAAAGTGTTGAATAGCAAATTCCCATAATTAAGGTTTCAGATGTGACTATAATCTCACATTGGTTAGGGAACATTTTTAAAGTGAGCCTTAAGTAGTTTGCATGCATTCCTACACCTCTTCTAATTCCTGATTCAATAACATAATGAAACTTGAAATTCACAGTAAGTTTGGACATAATTGTCATCAATATCAAATTATTACTTGCAACAAATTAGCTTGCAAATGGAAATTTAGTAGGCCTTCTAAAAATCACACAAAAGATTTCTCAAAACATTTCTTCATAAAAGTATTTCCCTTTCTTAAAAACAGCTTACAATGTATCCTGTTACTATAACAAGCTAAATTAATTATAAGGAGATTTTACAAGATCCTTTCTTTGCATAATTACCAAGTTTCCTTTCAGAAAAATACCTTTGGAAATACTTGATTTAAACAATAACTCCAAATAGCATAGTTAACAATCTTAAATTTTTTTTAAGTGAGAACCAATAATTTTAGCTGAAACTTCCTTTGAAATTTAGACAAAACTTGGAAGTTTAATTTCTTAAATTACTAAAAGTATTACAACACATGGCTACACAGAATGACCTAACAGCTTCCTAACCCATTCATTTTTCCCCCTCTCACAGTGCAATTTTTAATCTAACAACATCTAGATTATAAGAGGATTTCTTTTCTAACAACAGAGGTGATAGAATTGTTTACCGAATTGCACAATTTAAAAATGTAACAATACCCTACATATTATAATGTATTTAAAACTTGAAACAACTCATTATCAATTTAGGTAAATGCATTTCTAGTTCACCTTGCACAGAGAATCATTCATCTCATCATTAATATGTTGAAACTACAACCTGAAACCACCTTATGTATTTTCATAATAGCCAAAATTTCAAATGAAAAATCTCTCTCATAGTAAATATCAGTATATTTATTATTACTTGCTTATAACCAAATATACTTCATTAAATGTTAATAGTTTTCAAAAAAAATCACATCCTTTTTTTAAAAAGTACCTACCAATTCATATGCAACAAAATTCAGATTAAAAATTGAGAAATACAGTAGTAACACAAACAGTAAACTTCAGATGACATCAATTTCAGATTATTGCATATAAAAATTATTGATCTTATTATTTCTGGCATTTTATTTTATTATATTTTTTTTTCTTTCAGCCAAAGACAAAGTTTAGTAGAACGTCAATGGGGGTGGGGTGGGCATGGGGCGGATGAGATTTTACGAATCCCCCACGTTGGCCAGACTCTTAAGGAATCTAAGCATTTGTATTGCTAATGCAAGCAGGCCAGATTTTAAGAATCTGGGCCTCTTAATGGAGGCCAGATGGACCTTATATACAGAAAGACTGTGGGAGGGATTTAGGAGTGGCTAAGTAATCTGAGGTGACTGTGAGGTAACAGAGAAGGGCCAGGGATCTGGACCACATGGTCAGCGAAGACTGGGATCTAGATAGGATGAAGGAGTGGAGGTCTAGGGTGGGGCCAGGTATGGGTAAAGAAAAGGCAGTTAATTAACTGAGAAGGGTCGATTGCCCCAAGCAAACACCAGGGAGCTGGGCCTTGTGGGAAAATCTAGGGCTTTTCCTTTTTGGGTCCAGATCCTAAAGACACAATAGTCTTTTTCTTTAGGGGTTCATGTCCCATTCCCATCATTTCCCCCTCAAACAATGGGACCCAAATTCTTTTGAGGTGAAGAGCAAAGGTCTCATCTTCTGAAACTGCTTCCTGCTGGCAAGGAGTGTGAGTTGTCCATTCCTCAAGGGGGTCCC